CACATACGTTGATCCTAGCACGGGAAATGCTGCAGTGTTTTGTGCTCTGTGATATTCTATCCTCTGTCGGTGCGTTGAGAAGTGTAGCGTGGCGTTGAGTCGCGGTTGACTATGAACACCGCTACCAAGAAACACGTGCCAGATAAATCAGAAGGCGAAGATCGAACGTAACCAGATTCATTTCGTTGGCGATCTCGTGGTATTGAACGAATACCGAGATCGTGCCAAGGAATGATACAAGTGGAAGCAGGAGTACGTGCGAACAGTACCAAAAACCGCGGAACAATGATGGAAGGTAATGGAAGCACAAAATGGCTATAATTAGCACAGTTAAACAAAAACACATTAAAACAAACACTGGTACAGTTGGTTATAATAATAATTGTTTCCATTAAACCAGTCGTGTCCTCGTGATAAATGTGAGTCACTACAGAAATATGTGACCTAAGCTGATTATCTAGTGTGAGAGATGCACGAAACGACACAACCAAATGTGGACTCGTATGGATGCTTGACCTAACACCTGCTAGAAGCGTGTTCACTACAACTGATGAGGTCAGTGTCAATATCGAGTACTACTTAGTTTGAAGGATTTATTTCTCGCTTCAAATTCCAACAACGGGTTTTTACTATACCAATATTCACCTATCATTGATTTTCACCGTGATCATCTATATTTCATTCGTAGAATAACTAATGACAAATTAACTTTACTAGTATTTTTCTCGAGCTCCCAAGTTTGGAGAAACTCTCGAAGTCAAGTGACCTTGACCAAGGTTAAAGGGGGGCTTTGGTGAAATTTTGGCGAATTTCCCCAGGTCTGCGGAAATTCTGGTGTCATTTCCTCAAAGTTTACTATAGCGGCTTCCCCAAAATCGAGAGCTCGGATTGTTTAGTTACGAAATAGACAATTCGTGCAAATGTTCTTCATCATGTGGAATACAGTGGTAACGACTGTATAAAATTTTGCTATGGCTTAAAGGTCGCGCTTAAGCAAGTAGCCTAGTGATCGTTAGAAATACATTCTATCACTTGTAAAACAGCAAGCTGTACTGCATCACCACACGAGGTGGGATGAATTTAGCTAAGGTTATTGATCACCAGAATTAAACAGCTATTTTGTTTGCACTTGTCAATATGAAGGCTGTCTCTGTCAAATGCATTGAGATCTCATTGTCATTTCAGGACCAAATAAGATAGTTGCATAGCTATTGGAAATACATTATTCTAGAAATGAATCCCGTTTTTGATACAAAATGGCTACTAGGAAATGCGTACATAAGCGAGAGAAAAATGGGTTGATCGCACTTCTCAGCCATTGCATAACCACAGTGGAAAACTGATTTCTGCTGTTTTCATGCGCGTGTATTATGAAATTGTGTGCATCAGTGAATCAATATTTCTCATCTCAACGATGGAAATTCGCCATATTTTGACTTCTGCGCATTTCAAATAGTGTCAGCTCGTATGTTATGTGTGGTATTCGTGCGAACTAACAATACCTTTTTACTTGATTGCGCGCTGATTACGAATCCCAAATACAATGAATTTGTTTGTGCTTACCCAGTTCTACCTACCTCAAATTAAATTACTTAGGGAATTCCTAATTAGCACAACAATTCAAATACTCTCTGTTATCATATAATGGTAAGTAATTGTAGTCTATTTTAAAATGCTCCGTTTATGATATTCTTATATCAGCTTTAATCTTTTCTTTCAAGCCAATCAAATATGGAATAATTTTATTGTCATTGTTATACGAGTTCCCACTGACGTATGTTCAGTATCGCCTTTGGCAACTTAACAAACATCAAATGTTATTTATCACGCGAGTTTATGTGGATATTTTCTAATCATTTCAAAGTGATAAACTATGCACTAAGGTTGGATTTGAGCGTGTTTTAACTTGCAAGTTTTTTTAATTTCATTCATTTTAAAGAGTATTTTTCTGCAAAGTACATTAACAAACTCAACTAAAGCTGGTTATCTGGTATGGAAAAGATGTAGTTCAGAAAAGCTTTTCGGAATTCTTATTCAGTTAGCACTATCAGACAGTGACAATAACCTTTCATTTTTGTCAATACTGTTAAGAATTATAATGGAAATGTTCGTGAAACGCGATTATTCACGACAGTCTTTGTAAAATACAGATCGGGTACATCGCTCGTCTGTTTGAGCGTTAGCTCAAAAATCTGAATTTCACGAGATAGTCTCCTGAAATTATATGGAGTAGTCCCCTTAATACTAGAGATTTTTAGCATCTTATCAATAAATTCATGGGTTGTGATGTTCTTCTGACCGAATGATTCCTCGAGAAGATCTGACGCCTTACCATAGCCTTCTTCTGGTTCGAGAAATGCACAATGAACAATAGTAGCCTTGGCTTCACCATCACAATAGTTCAACATAGATCGACTCCTTACACATTCACCGAAACGGCCTTCGAAATTTTGGATGAAACCTTATGATCTATCTTTTTGGTAGGTTCAAAGCTTTAGATATAATTGCTATCGAGTCCTTCTAATGACGAAGACCGACTGTATGTGAGACAGATGTAGTTTCGTACGACACCATCTTGTCAGCCGGAACTTCACTACAATGTTCTCTTCGTTTTAATCGTGACTTTTTCAACTCATTTTCTCTTTCTGTCTGAGCTTAACGTGCTTTAACTAATTTTAACTATAAAAGCGGATCCGCTCGGTAGCTGTTTGCTTCAAACTGGTCATCAGTACGAGTTTCTGAATAGTGGGAAGACAATTCACGAATCTGGTCAGTTTTACGATTCATCGTAAACACTTAACAGAACTCGACGTACGAATTTCTGGGGAGTTACTGATCGAAAATTTGTATAATTTAATTTGTTCTACCGATATTCTACGGGAAGTGTAAGCGCTATACTGAAAACACAGAATCTATGTGAAAGCTACAGTCAGAACGAAGATAACTTGTCTTTGAGCGTTATCTGTTTTCAAAGGCAATAGCAGAAAGACAGTTCTATTGATACACTAATCGAAGGAATATTAGTCAAAAAGCGAAGCGCACAACATACCGACCAGTATCGTGTGCCTTATGAGAATAAATCGAAGATATGAGTCACAGTCACACTAATATGATAGGATAATAATGTCTTCCAACTGGTAGATCACATGTATCAGGGATAGTCTACAGACAAATCAGGCCAGTTGGCATGATAAACGTTTAAGCAACGATTTGGTTGGCTAGTTGTAGACATATCTAACAGTAAGTACATCGACATTCGCCATCTTTAATGAAACATGTCGGTAGACAGAATTCTCACGTCTTTTTGTTGGTCTTGTGAGTAAAATCCATATCAACAACTTCTAGAAATTATTAACGTAATGCGAGTTGATCGTAGTTAATAAAGCACACTCTATTTGCGCACACAACAGACCACAAGGCTTCAAATATGGAAACCTTGCCGTCGTTCAAGAACGTAGAAATCAACTTCAGGCAGATATGAAAGTCGATTGCTTTTCTTTCGTTTCGCGAACGGAAATCTATTTCAAATTTCACCTTGACGTATGATATTCGAAGGTGATAGTGGGTTATTTATTCACAAGGTTGGGTGTTGGGTGGCCCATCGTTGTATGTAGCTTGACCTCACTAAGTTGCATTGAGCATTTTGGAAACTCCCAAGTGATCATTCGATCAGTTTAGAAAAAATATGAATTTACTAAGCGTTCGACTTCATGGGATGCTTTTTTGATTGCCTGTTAGAGAGGCTCATGTAGCGTGTAGCAGAGGGTAATGACTTCGACTGACTTAATGTGCCCGATATCTTTGATTCAAACTTTTCATTCCTACTGTTATTACTACTGTTTTTGGTAAATTTTATAGTACTACGCTGTGTTGTGAATTCATTATATACAATAATGAAATAAAAGGTAACGTTCGACATAATTCGTCTGTGCTTTTGGGAATCCAGTTTCTTAGCTTCGAGTTTATGTGTATAAATGAGATAAGCAGTAAGTAGTGATGTAGAAATCATATTTCAATCTTCTGTCTGTCCAGGAAGCATATGCAACCAAAAGTGTTCGTGCAGCATCCTAGTGCGGGGAGAACATATGCCTTACGGAGAATCATTTCGCAATTTTTTAAAATAGAAGTTATGACTCATAAACTGTATAAGTCTATGCCTTAAGAGATCTGAGATGTAGCTTGCTTGGTGAATAAACGAATAAAAGAATATATCACACTCAAATCGAAGATGCCGTGTAGTTGTCAAAGGGATAGATAGAAAAGATCAGGCCTGCTACAGACCGTTGTTTTCCTTAAAATATCATCACTACTCCACTATGAAATGCACATTGTTGTTTTGCCGTCACTCTTCGAACGAGATATAAATCTCTTAAAACAAGTACCTAGTGGGTTATAGGAGCAAATCAAAAATCATAAGGAAACAGACTTCAGCACCCGAGATTACTATCGCTGATTTATAGGAAAATAAGGGCTGATCTGTTAACGTCATATAAAACACCAAGCGTAACAAGTCAACCCGATATGAACATCACTACCACGCCTATCAAAACAAAACCTGTAAAAGTGCACATCATGGCAAGAACAACCAGGTACACTATCACGTTTTCTCATTAAGAGTTTTACCCACTCAGAGTGAGCTCCCAACCGGGGTGGCCACAGCTCCATCAGTAGATGGCTTTAAAAGAAGATTCGGCAACACACTCACTCATGGATTACCACCTCTCGTTTGGACTATCTGTGCCTGATGACTCACAAATTACCCACTATTATCATCACCCTATACCGGTGACCACTTTTTATCTAGCTTATTATCATCTGCGTTGCCGCCATTATTCTTAAACTTCCACCTTATCGTATATTCTCAAGTACGACTCTAATTAAAATGTTGCGCAAACTTCAACTTACCTAAAAGACATCTCACTGAATTTCAATACACTTCCTTACATTAATTATGTGTACATGTATGTGACTATAGGTTGTTTTACTATTTGTCGAAATACTTTGTGTTGAAGATTCTATGTTGTACCAAATACATTATATCGTTTAATGAGTGAGCGTAAAGAAATCGATGCGTCAATACAACATCGTTACAGGAATTTTGGATTTTAGATATCGTATTAATAACAATACGGATATGATCGGGGAGATTAACATATGTGAGAAAGTTGTCTGGTAGATATTGGGGATTGTATACTAATCGCTGTTATTGAACGCGCTAACAATAAAAGGTTAATTTGTTTTCGCTCCACGTTCATATTTCATGCATCAACCTTTCTGAATGACATTGCTTGAAATGAATAAAAACCCCAATATCAAGTGATTTGACGTCTGATGATGTAATGACGTATGTTTGATGAATGAAGTACAACACACTGTAGATTGATTCATGGATCAATCTATAGAAGATGTCAAGACTCTGACTATTAGGGTGATCGACCATATGTGTAAAATCCCCTCAGACCAAGGATATAGTTCAGATGAGTTCAAATCAATCATTCACCTTTTCGACAGGAGTTTTTTTGCCATCGAGAATCCTAGAAACCTAGTGGAAGATTATCGCCTTTGGATAGCTACGAAAGTGTTATCTAGCGGCGAATACCCCTACCGTCTTACTCAGATCTTTACAAACTTGGGAGAATATTCCTTCGGATCTCTGAGTGTTGGGAAAGAATCCTACAATGAACAGTACATTGAATTGCTATCATCATTTCAGTTGACTCTGTGCAATTATCTTGAACTAAGTGAATTACTGGCAGAGAAAATGTCAATGCAAGATGCTTATTTGAAGGAAATATATCGTATTCATCAAGCCATATTGTTATACGACGGAATTTGTGCTGAAGAAAAGGTAAGAAATTCAAGCTAAATTTAATTTGGGATTATTCCTTAGAAAATCACGTTGGTGGTAGAAATAGTTGTAAAAACCCTTTACAACATGCTGCAACACGAAAGCCCAATAATATGTTTTGCCTTCAAAAAGCATAATCTCATAGATATTGTTACACATTATTCAAAGTCCACGAATACTAATTTGCAAGTACGATAATAACTGATATCCATATTTTTTAGATAGCCTCTTATCTAAGCTTAGCGTACAGTTATAATGAAGAAGATCAGCTAATACCTGGGGATAACGAAAATATAATTTTTTTGGTAAATATGCTCGCTTCTGCTCTTGATAAACCCTCAACAAGGATATATGGTTACTCATGTGAAGAAATCTTAAAAGGTTAGTTCCAGTTACATGTTTTATTTACTTTAGTTGTCGTCATATTGTTCACAGTTAAAAAACTTAATTAAGCACCATGGTCGGCTTCATTGACAATGGAGGCGCAAACTCTTACTTCTGTATTTGAAGAAGTCATATAAAAATCCTTTGTTTCCCCATTTCATACGTATATTTTACTTTTCCTCAGTTCCTTACCCACAGGTTTTGTAAAGAAGAAGAAACTGAACGGGTTTTTGACTTTTGAGAGCTATTTTACTGAAAACCTGATCTCAGCAGTTATTTCAGATATCATCTCGACAAGTCTTTTTATCGCACTTGAATGCTGTGTGTAAAGAGGTCTTCATGAAACACTTTATTATTTAGTGGTTTTTCTTACAGGAAGTCAAACATTTCCATTGACCTGCAGTATTGTATTTCATGATCACTATTTCATACGACAGGCCTTTCAACGAAATGCTATCGACTCCGTAACTGATTCCCTACACTTGATGATCATTGTTTAGTAGACTGCTTTGAACATTTTTTGATTGCTGTCTGTTACATGGTCGATACTTACTTTACAGAGTTCCTAAACGCTATTCAATAATAACTAGTTGTAAAATTTCAGAGTCAAATATTGTAGTTCAGTTATGATACAAGAAATACTGTTGAATGCTACAAAAGCCTAAACAATTAACAGGCCGTCCTGGTACGAATAAGATTCTATAAAACTAAAAAACGGTAGGTTATACAAACGAATGTCACAATTCTAATAATTCATAGACAGTTAAAGAGAAATCAGAACGGTTTCATGCATCATAAATAAAACAAGATTCCATGCATAACGTCACAAAAGTTGCCCAATCTAACTGTGTAGTGCTTTCTCTCTTCCTTGGCACATTTATCTTTTCGATCAGGGTTTTTTATCAGTTGCTACTTTCAGTAATTGTCAATCAGTAATAATATCACAGCCTTCTTTGTGTTTATGTTAGATGCATCAAGTTTCAAACATAACGACGCTTTTACATGATTTTCGGCCAATTGTCTATAAGGTTCTGTTTAGTCTTGAATTAGATCATTGTCTTTTAATTCCTGTTTAGGGATAAATCGTCACTGTGAGCACCAATACTGACATGCAGATATACTGGGTTGATAAGCCTAATGTGAGATAAAAAAGGGCGAAATGAATACCACTTCTAACTGCAATTTATATGTTATAAAAGCAAAAATCTGTTGGAATTTTGGCTCAGGAGCCCATCCCACAAAATTCATCAAAACTTTTAGTTGAACTACAGACTTTTACAATGGGTAATTCATAATTGTGTCATTAGTTTGATCAATGTCAAAATCAATGCACGTTTCCCTAGATAATATTTGAACAACATTCAAAAATATATATAATACAACGACGAAAAGTCTTTTGGTGTAAAAAAGGTTGAATTCACTATCACCGTAAAAGTTTTTTTGAAATGACACTTACCAGTTACCAATAAAGGAGTCAGTTATTGCTATTGGGTGATCGATTTGTCAGTTTCACTTTGAGAACAAAATTTAGGCCTTCCAAATATAGACAATCGGTGTTCCTTCTTTTATTATTTTTACAGGTTTGAGACTATTGGCATCTAGTGATCAAAACAGACAGTTCATATGCCAGTCGGCTATATTGCAAAGCATCCAGTGCACTATAAAAACACTGAAAGGAAAAGTATTAGAAGAAGTTATACTGTTTCTATTGAAATTAACACTCAACTCTGGAATAAGAGACAGAATAAGAAGAGACTTTGGGGTCGTATTGAAGGATTTAGACATATCTTTCAAAGCGGAAGAGTCTGAAACCTCAAACAACATAAAGAAGGCACTTGATAGCATTTTATGGCAGATGAGTCAAGGTTAGTATATATATAGACAATCAGATATTAAACCAGTACTTTTTGTAAATGTAAAATTCTATGTTATTTAACTAACACAAATGGTTTTCTGAAAAGCGAATGCAGTAGATTTATCTAGTATATATACCCCACTTATCGCTCAATCAAAAGTAATTCACAAAAGTTACTCGATACTCAGAAATAGAAAGGTGTTCATAAAATTTCATTCTCTTGAGTTATCGACAAGTCATAAAAAAATGTAGACTTGCAAAGATTTTGCGTCAGCATTGTAACAAATGCAAATTAGTTTTATCAAATAAATTCAATGAAGTTGACTGAAAAACCCAAGAAAACGAGGATATGATTTCTCCAACCATAATCTTACATTTTCCCATAAAACTTCCACTATTCATCATAAAGTGACTTTACTAACGGCATTGAAGCAAATACTCAATGGTAAATAATTTTTTAAATTCCCCATCTGGATATACCGAAAATATATTCATTATTAACTCTCTATCGAATGTTCATATTATTTAAAATGATCAAGTCCAACCTTGGTATTGATACCAATAATCAACAGATTTTGAATATGACATACCTATCTATAAATTAAAATTAAGTATCAGTCGTTATTACTATATGTTTGGGAATAATATTCATTATTTTCAAATGAATAATATTTCTCAATATGGAAGTTGTTGGAGTCGCTGAATTTTATTAAATTTAACAGATTAATCTAGGTTATACACTCGGTGATGTCTTGGGAACAAGGAACAGCTGATCCATACTAGTATATAACTCATCACTAGCGTGCATCCACGACTCATCACCGGAGATCGAGCCCAGAACCTTTGGTTTCGAGTAAGACTGTTTAACCCTTAAACAATTGATCCAGGACTCAATAATCTTTATGTCTAACTTTAGTCAATCCGTGATATTGTTCGACCATCTTCCATTTTTTCGAAGCACTATCTTCACAACCAAAATAACTGTTTAACTAAGATTGGTTTGGAACTTAAGTAGTAAAACTCATCGTCAGAAGTTTTCAACCTAAGATCCCATTCTTAAGCAGTCACAGAAAACAACCAGGTTTAATGTTATCTGGAATATAGTGAATTCTTTGTTTAAATTGTCAAAATATTAGTGAGTGTATAGTAGTAACTTATTAGAATGTGCGCATTCTTCGTCTTTGATATGCAAAGGAAAATTGTCAGAACTTAGTTAAATGTATTGAATAATCAATATGTGGACTAAGCAACACAAAGCCTATATAAACATTTAGCTAGAATATAATTTATTTCAGTGATCGCTAGACATATGTTTCCCAACTTCACTAGCAAAAGGAAGAGATATTTATGGATTTCTATTGTTTATTAGGAATCTTTTGAAAAACAAGACCAGACATTTTTATGTAGTTGCTCGTAATTGAAATAATTATTTTGTAGCAGCTCCAGTAAAGTCCACTACTCTGGTTATAAATTTGATAGTTGGAAGTATGTATATCGCAAAAAAGATTTCAAATTTTCCTATGATAAAAGATTAAACTACATGATATATCTTGTGAAATCCTATAGAAACCCACTTTGATGTGCCTTATTTTATTTCTATATGTGACTAATTTCTTGCCGCCCAGCTTGTTTCTATTACTACATGTTTATTTTTATGTTTTATTTTTCATATATCGTGACGGACGTTTCAATGTATTATGAATACATTGTTTAGACCACATATAATTACCTACTTCAGCAAAATATGACGTCTTAAATAAGTTTCCTCTGATAGTAGAAAATAGTTTTTCTTTACAACAGGTTCTTAACGAGATAGACTGTTCATTTCCTAACCTTCAACTATTTCATATTTAACCAATGATCATTTGCGTTTAACACTGATCTTTTTCTATTCTTATTTTTCCGGTTACTTATATGGTATCATCCCCAATTCCTTTGTTACTGTAATTTATTTAAATTTTGTATACTAATTTGAAAATACTGTAATTTAAACCATTATATTTTTGCCTCTAGGTTATTACTATTTTAGTTCAGTTTCATCAATCAGGTGATTAGAATGTTGTTGTGGTCGATTAAAAGTTTGTATTTGTTTTTCTATAACAGCTAACGCGTTTTGCCCGTCGAGAGCCTACCATTAACAACAAATTAGGAGTTAGAGGCATAGACTGTTCATTAGAGATCTCCTTTCAATAAGCTCTAAATCAAAGACAGTATAACCAGTGATATCTTGCGTGACAGAATAATCAGAGGTGATATAAGAAAGATTTATTTAAATTAACTTTGTGATTTTCCACTCGATTTATTGTACTTACTTACTTACTTATTCCTGTAACCCCTCGTGGAGGAGAATAGGCCGCTCACCAGTACTATCCACCCAACTATATCCTGGGCAATCCTTTCCAGTTTATAAGAGTTTAGAATAATCAGTATATAACTGAAAACAATATCATTTTGATATACATTTATATAGTCTTCATTGATGCAGAATTTCTCCTGACATTTTATTATTTTAATTCTATAATTTAGATAAGAATTCACTAGATTATGAATCCAACTTAAATTCTTCTACGCAACTTGAACATTTAATGATAAGTTATAGTCATAAACAGAAAGAAATTGCAATAAATCTTACAAAACATTTAAAAGAAAAAGGATATAAGGTTAGTGAATTTTTTTTAAAAACATCTGAAAACTTTACATTATTCGACTGTACTAATAAAAATTAACAATAAAATTGTGATTTCTTTCATCATTGTTGAAAAATGTTCCTGTTTTTATGTATTCTCATAACAGTTTATATTCTATTCAATACCTACTTACTTACGCCTGCTATTCATTGTGGATGAGCATAGACCGCCCACCAGCACTCTCCATCCAACCCTGTACTATGCAATCCTTTCCAGTTCTTTCCAGTTGCTATTCATCCTTTTCATATCTGCTTCCGATTCACGAAGTAGTGTGTTCTTTGACCTTCTTCTTCTCCATTTCCCTTCACGAGTTCAAGTCAGAGCTTGCCTCGTGATGCAGTTTGGTGACTTCCGTAATGTATGTCCTATTCACTTCCAACTTCTTTTCTTAATTTCCTTTTCAACTGGAAGCTGGTTTGTTCTCTCCCACAGAAGGCTGCTGCTGATGGTATCCGGTCAATGAATGTTGAGCAGACAACTGTTCATAAATACTTGTACCTTCTTGATGATGGTTATGGTTTTACTCTTGTGATTTGTTGCATGCTAAGAACCGTCGACCAAGAATCGAAGTTTTCTTTGGCAGCCCTACACACAGGGCTTAAAACTCAGCCTGTAGCTGTCCCACAGTTACTGCCGGCCTCAAGCTCGGGTAAAGGAGGAGGGTTGGGCATGAGGTCAGAAACCCCATCCTGTAGAAAAAATCTTGCTAATAAAACGTCAACCGGATTCTATACAATAGATTAGTAATCTTTAAATGTCATTATTAACATTGCCCAAAATTAAAATATGAGTATTCTCCTTTTTTATATTGTTTGACATCTGAAATCATTCATGACTAACGTAAATTAAGTATACTTGAAATACTTGATCAAATGTCAACATTAATTCTTTCTATAATTTCATATTATTCATTAAATACAATATAATTTATAATTCAGCTATTTATGTAATGTATAACTGTGGTGATTAAATAAATAAATTAAATAAAGTTTCTATTTATTAAAACAAAACACAATTCCCACAATTTGATTTGCATTCAAAACTCGAAAATTGTTTTTGGTGGTTTTTTGTTCTCTGAGCTCGATGGTTTGGTCGTGGAGCTTTCATCGTTCTTCTGAACGACATCATCAACACAAACTTCAGATAGAAGTGAAGTGCTCTAATTTCTCCATATGTGTTTCACAGCTTGTTCAATGCACCTCGATGTTGATTGGTTCTTATTGACCTTAAATTTGTCATTGTTTACTTCTTTGTTTTGGTTGTGTGTCCCATTGGTTTGATTTTTGTTAGTATATTTGTGCCACAAGTCTTCTCCACCATCTCGAAAATTGTTTATTTTAAATTATAAGTAAGATGAAAAGTTTTTGAACTTGTTGTTTATTGAGAATAGTAACAAGAATTGGTATCATCTAGACTATCGTTAGAATTGAAAAAATTTCTGTTAATTTGAGATTTTTCAACAGTACATATATTGACTTCAAGTCTCATAAAGAGTGTATTACTTTCAGAACATCTCGTTAAATTCAACGACAATATTATATCTCACAGATTGAAAACATGAGTCAGTTGAAGCTAGACCACTATGGAAAACCTGGAAGCACTGGACGGCCGTTTCGTCCTAGTATGCGCACTGCTGAGGAGTCACATACTAGGACGAAACGGCCGTCCAGTGCTTCCAGGTTTTCAATGGTGGTCTAGCGTCAACTGACCCATGATTTCAACCTGTGAAATTTCCTAAAATCTCCACAAAACTCATTCTGAAAATATTATATCTATCAATTTATGATATTGAAAGACCAATATATAGTTGTCACCTACTTTAGATATATGTTAGCAGAACATATGAAACAAACTTAAAAATCTTTTTCTCGAAGGGCGTAACAGAATGTCATTAACTGTTAGGTTATTCAAAAGCTAGTTAACACAGTAGTAAACGAGAACATACAATTGGGAACAACCGAATGTGTTTGAATACGAAATTACAGAACATCTTAGTAAAATCTAACAACCATGCAATCAATAATTCATTTTCAAAATATCAGTCACTCGTCTCAGAATTGATTGTTCCCTCGTTTGCACACTTATCATTGTCTGTTCTCTTTCTCTTTTCTTTGATCTTCTTAACCTTCTGCCTCCAGGGATTTCACTTTCGATTGATGACACGTACAACTTATACCTATCGAGATCAGTAGCACTCATCACAACACTACATGTTTGAAAAATCAAGGTTAATAAACGCTTATTTATTAATTTAGATGATGAAAACCATTAATAATTTCCGATTATAATTGATAGTTATTTAGAAATGTCTTTATATAAGTGTTGATGTTTTCATTGTATCAGGTATGGTTTGATCAAGACAATCTGAAATATGCTGCAAATACATTTAGAAGTATGGCTGAAGCCATAGAAAAATCTTATGCTGTATGTATTATATATTCCGAAAATTATAAAAATAGCGAATATGCTGAAATGGGTAAGTGGAATTAATTTTAAAAAATAAATAAATGCAATGAGTACAGTTCGATATATTTTTCCTTGAACACTAATATTATCCGATTGGTTAAACCAAGATCCATTGGTTACTACTTTTACCCTCTGATTGGACAGTTGAATGTGAACAATGCTTAACACTTTATAAGAATTCTTATTGAAAATTACATATAACTATTACATAATGTGCATTAAAATATGAGATTGATACAGCAATATAATACTTACCAATGATATACCAAAAAACTATTATTCAGGTTACTACAGTTATTACGATTAGTGTTTTAGAATTTAAACCATTATAATAATCTGTATATCGATAATTGTGAATATTTCTTTAATAGCTATAGTGTTTCCAGCAGTAATTGTCTTTAGAGCACATCATTGTACCTACTCTACCAGACGAAACTTTGTTTAATGCTCATGGCAACTTTATATGATTTGAAGAATATGCATTGGCTACAAGCTGCATATTTTATACGCTCATACTACCTTCCATTCCCAATTAACCAAATATTTTTGGAAGCCATCGTAAATCAGAATTTACAGTTATTTTATCGTTTTACACTCAATTAAAACCGCGTTCTTAAATTTTGGAAATCGTTTCTCAAGTGTCGCTTACGTCCACAGTAGCTGCCAGTACTTACGGATGTTTCTTTTTAAGGAATTACCAGACCTCATTATCAAGTGCATGTATTAAAGAGAATATCTTACTACCAAAGTATATCTAGTTACGAAATTCTTAAAAATTGGTATCATCATTTTCATAATTGTTCAACCTATATTAAATTACTCCATTCATTTCTCTAAAGATAGTTGTAAATAGTTTACATCAACTCAAGCATTTACAAAACAATGTAAAAAACTTTGTGTTTGTTCAGTTGTAATAGCACTTACTATTAGTAACAATATAATGAGCACACAAATAAACTCAATTTTAACATCTCAAATGTATTGGTTCCTAAATGATCTACGAAATACAAATCCAATATTTTTAATGTTTTCATCAAGTTGTGGTCCTGTTTATTTTGAGTCGAAGATTTTGTAAATGTCCACGTCATTAAGTTATACAGTAAAACCGTAAATTTGCTCCCCAGTTATTCCTTGTCATAATAATCTTTCATTGCGTGCTTGCACCAGTTATTTGGATTTGTGTGAAATCACTACCCAACCACAGTCAAGTCCGACAATTCACCAAAAGTATTCCATAATATAAGCCATCTTTTGACTGTTTTAACAAAAATTCGTTTCACAAAAAAATTTAATCGATTTTTACATTCCGCTATTAGTTATTTCAACATATATTTAAAGCATGATATTATGGATTAAGTTTGATATAAGAACTGTAGAAATCACAAGGCAATAGACACTTGTTTTGACGTAGTATGAGACACCTTGGAAGTGAGCATCCACAACTTGAGCAAAGATACGAGCCAGGACCTTCAGACCTTGTCTAGTTACCATTGTAGCGAACAAGAAAATCAGTGGGGACAATCGAATGTATTTGTCACAAAATTACAGGACTTGTCAATAAAATTTTACGATTAAATAGTAAATACATAATTTCCAAAATGTCCATCAATTACCTCATAATGACTCAGACTTCATTGTTCTTGCATTTTCATACAAATCACATTCTGTTTCCATTCTTTACTGTTCGATCCTCTTGTTTCTCTGTTGCCAGACCTTCTGTTCACGACTAATATCATCTACTACTTATGTCAATATAAGTAGCACACACCACACCATCAGCAGGAATCATATAAAATCTTATCAACTACATTTTTCGATTACACGGCTGAAGCATAAGTTTGGTTACCATTTACATTTGAAATGTTATCAAATTGCCAAAATTGCCTTAGATTCTACACTTGTTGACTTCTTTCTGTTAGTTACACAGTTGAATCTGAATAATCATATGCAGGTAATTCATTGTTTTTAAATGACTGGATGATTAGACAGTGGCTATTTTAAAAGCATGACTAAATTTTGAAGAATAAAGCATTAAAAATTATCTAGTAATGTCCGGTTTTAACTCTTAGGTTTTATTTACTATGAAACTCCAAATGAACGTCATACTTAAAAAAAATTGGAACAGTTCATAGTTATCAACGTGGCAAAGTATTTTAATGTTCCGGTGTTAAGTAGATAATAAATCTTTTTTTTATTAAATAGAAGCAACATATGCAGTTTGTTTGAAAAAACCAATTATTTGTTTACGTGCACAACGTGACTACAAACCAAAGGGTTGGCTAGGTCTTATAACTGCTCGAGAAAATCGTATTGACATTTCTGGAAAGTATCCATTTGATGAGTATTTTTCTACTTTATGTCGAAGAATTGATGAATGCATTAAAATCAAAACGGATCATTATGGTTGATCACGTAAGCCATATCATTTATCAGCTATTATCCTTTTTTTTAAAATTAAAAGCAATGAATATTGAAATACGAATAATTAATGAAACCCTAAAAGACTTTTATATCACACTTGAAATGAAAGTATATATATTTTGTATTTTTAAAATGACTAAGATCAACATAGAAACCAGTATAATTTGAAAATGGCTTTTGTTACGAACTAAATTCAAATAGAAAACCATTTAGATATAAGAAACTCTGGGACTAGAACTCATTACCGTTCATTTTAAACGCTATCGCTCCATACACTTATTTATTGGGTACGGATAGCCACTAGCTTGTGCAATGGGGTGATGTCTAATTCATTTTTGGATTAATTGTTTAAATCTCTCCACTGATGTTTAGGACTATAATTGGCTATCTAGACTCAGTAGCTTAGTGGATTGTGTGACATTGTTTAAAACAAGCGGTACCGGGTTCGAGCCTCGGAGTAAACATCAACTTAGGGGTGGAGGTACATGCAGCAGACGAGTCCAAAATAAGGCGAAACGAACATTCCGGATTCCACTGCTAGCCACTAACCATCCCTGCTTATAATTGTTGTGACCCAAGGTAATATCAAGGTGACACTCACACGATGTACAAATGTCAACGGGTGACTGATCAATCACAGTCTGAAACGTCGATGGGAAGATCCAAACAACCAATTCAAAAATGAGTTTTTGTTGACTTTGCTCGTTAACAGTAGTTTATTTTCTCCAAATGGTCTAAGTTCATTTTTTTTCAATTGTTCAACTAGTATTTTGAAATGATTTAGGTACTTTGTCAATCTTTCAAAATCATGCAATATTATTCTCTTGTTGGCTGTAATCTTCATCATTATAACAATATGAAACGTAGTTCTGGTTATCAATATGCATTTCATTTCAAATAAATATTTCTATCTGATTTTGTTGTGTACAATAATTCTAAGTAGAAGAACTCTTGAAAGATCAAGAATTGAACTGTAGTTCATAGTACTTGAATGTGATTTTCAGCATTTACAGACAGTCGGAACGTGAACAGCAATAAAGTTCAGAAAGCGCGTTTCATAATATTTAGTATTAATCAGCTCAATGTACCTGCGACTCAGAGTTGGTGTTCACTCCGAGTGTCAAACACGAAGAAATATGGGTCCTGGATTCCACTGCTAGCCATGTCCCATCTTTTTTATTGTAACTTGTATTACAGTGGCTATATCGAGGCAGTTCGCATACGATGCTTTTACGCCGAGCGAGAATGAAAAAATTTCAGTTAACATTTCAGCAACAGGATAATCTAATCCATTTAAATTTGAATGAAAAAGATATTTTGTTGCAGGTCTCAGAACACTTCTGTGTATTTTGTAAAATAATCAAAAAAACGTAAAAGAACGCTTTTCCTATTGGTTTCCAAATATTAACAAGATTTACTGGGCTTCCGTCAACCTTTCTTCAAACAGGATTTATTCACAGAATTATCAGTGATGTTAGTTGGGGATTCAGAATACATACACTCATTTCACTAAACTTCGTACTGATTTATAACATAGCACTTTAGAAAATACAGTTGTTAGAGGAATCGTAGTAATATAAAAACATTAAATGAATTTTCCATTTAGATTGATTATAAACATCCAAGAACAATTGTTGTTTGATACTAATCTAAGGAATGCGACGTCTTGTTAAAGCAATTTCAGTATGTGCTACTTATGTGAACAGATATAAGAAGTATATATCAAGAATTGGAAGTGGAATCCTTATCAACAGAAAACTGAAATAAAGAGAAGAAAGAAAACAGAGATCAATTAGAACACTGCAGAATTGGAGGAACGATGGAGATGTGCAGATGAGGATATGCAAATAATGTATTTAATGTATGATTTCAATATTTTGCAAAGGCACTGTGTAACTTTTCCCGAATATGAAATTGTTTTTACCTAATTAGTCTTCGCTCTCAACATAACCATCGCTCTCACGAGCAATCAATTGTAGTCATTAACATCACAGACAAAATTATACAGACGTGTACAGTTCAGTTCAACCCCCCTCGCACATATTAGTACCTAGTTAAACTCAGAACTTAGTGAACAACGGGTTTGTTGTTTGAAACCATAAGTACTATGTTCGATTCCAGTGGAGAGCCTTGATGTTGAAATGTGTTAGGTACACCTAATTGACGAGTCCCAAGTAGGATAAACCATTCATCTTGGATTCCACTGTCAGCCTCTATCGAATGTGACTAAAAACGTGTGAAGAGATGTTAATATTAAGGCAACTTGCTCAATATAGACTGGTTATTTGTAGTTATTAACACTGGCAACGTGAGAATCTAAAGCATTTTAAATAACAAATAGACATTGTGATCAATGAATTCTGAAGTTTATTGTTTTCGTTCATTTCCAGAAATATTTCTTGATTTAATATTGGCGTGATTTTTGAATAGACGAAAGAATTTTACGCGCCTGGCAACAAATAACCTCGAAACATAACTGACAGTGTGTGTAATCAAGTTCAAACTTAAAACAAATGTGAAGATTGTATGTTTTTGATTTGATTTTTTAAATGACATTGTATACTGCATACATTTCAGATATCTCTATGCAAGGAATTATGAGAGCGTATACTTCCATTTATTTTAAATCTTCTTGGTGGAATGTTCATGGTTTACTAGATTTCATTCTTTATCTTTTATTTACTTATTGAAATTTCTATTTTCTTGATGATTTCTTTCGAAAAATTTCATTACTTTGTTTAAAAAACAAAATCAGCTTTCTTTATCTTGGTTCATCCAAGTATCATTGTTAAACACTAGTGGAAAAGGTATATGTTACATTGCATTTAATAGTGTTATGTCTACAATTAACATATTTTGAGAATGAAGCATACTTGGAAGAATTTCGTCATGATAATGTAACTGTTGAAGTGTAACTTTTATCCCATATTCTAAATAAAACAGTTATGACTTATAAAAATTGATCCGTTGAATGTTGTTTAGTCCAAAATTCTGTAATGCTTCCAACTAAACATTAAATATTTTGGTGACAATTCAAATGTTTTCATGTTTCAATAAAAAAAGGATGAGAATATTCTTAGAATAAGATAGTTTCAATGTACGTTGTTACTTTTGACCCATCTACAATGTACAATTTGATAAGTATAATTGATTGAAGCAACTAAAAAGTTTGGAATGTTTGAAAAAAATACTTGATACCAGGATAATGTAAAATCATTTATAAAACGTATTTGTAGTAAGGCGCCTGTTTGAATGTTTCAGACGGATATTTTTATAGGTAGTTGAAATAATAGTTCTAGAATAATATCACACAGTATTAACAAAGATACATAAGGAATATACAATAATAAAAAGGAATTATCAATAATCATAAATGAATCGTTGAATAACAGAAGTGTAATATGTAAGCTTATGTTTACTGTTGTTCGTTGTAGAACTTTTCAGTCTGTTGTGTAAAGTAACCTTGTATCTAGTTCAATTAATTTAGATTTATGTGAAACTACTCATTTTTTAATTCATTTTAAACTAGACTTCCATCTATCGCTGTGAACAAACGAATATGTAATGTCACGGATTGAAATTATGAGTCATTTGAAGTTAGACCACTATGGAAACCCTGGAAGCACTGGACGGCCGTCTCCTCCTAGTATGGAACTCCTCAACAGTGCGCATCCACGACCCACACAACGCGAGTTTTGAAACTAGATATCATCCTCGTTTTTTCTTCTAGATAAAACATTGATGGTTTCTATGACACTCTTACTATCCAATTCTACTGTCTATAGTGTATATTCAATGTTAGTTTATGAGGAAACTTATCATTAATTGGATTTAATCAAGTTTATTTTATATTGGTATTAGGTTTTCCCATTTGTGTTAAATGAAATTAACAAAACATTCTAGAAAAATCATTTTCTGACTATGGACTATCGTATTACATGATCAAGAATGTTTTTTAATGATTTCTTTCACTTTGTATAGACATATTAGTACTGTTCGATAGACGTTTATAGAACTAGGTGAAATATTTTATTTTTAATAGAAACACATAGACTGCCTAATAGACATACAAACTGTTATTGATTATGCGAAGATAAACAATTCCCCATAAATTATTATGATCTTACAAGTTGATCAATAAAATAGATGTAAAAACGTCGTCAAGGGAAATTAGCCAATCAAAATATTGAAAATAAGTATGATACTACGTATGAACTCGTAATGAAACAATCTGTTTACCGAATTGAAAACGGGAAATTCTTTTGAAAGAACAGTAATATTCATTGATGAAATTCTCAGATAGGTTCTTCACCAATTGGGATGTGATTCGTAAAATCAGGACATGCGTTGATAAGAGGAAAACATGAGAGCGTATTATAGATACATGTCTAAAAGAATATTTATGCAATATTAGTAGAAACCAGTATAATGTATCTAATTATCATATGAGTTCAAATTCTGTCAATCAGATTTCAACTTACTTCGTGTAACTCAGTAAAATGTCCTTGAATATAAGATTCTATGAAACCGGTATTTATTTGAAGGTTTTGTTAGGATTTCAAACATTGCAAAATTTAAACACAAGAGTTTTTGATGACTATGTTCCAGTATTCAGCATCAACTTTACTGGTTCGTGTATGGTTAGTTGATTGAACTTGATTTGAATATTTCTTCAAATTTTATCTTCATAATAAACTTGATTCATACTAGAAGAATATTAACAATATGTTATATGAAATCGTAGTGTCATGATAAAAAATCGAATTAATGTATGAGGTTGTGGTGATTATTAAGTTTTAATTGAGATCATTAGCTGATCAGTGATAGACCACCATTGATAATTTGGAAGCACTGGACGACTATTTCGTACTAGTATTGGACTTAGCAGTGCTCAATTAAGATCTAACAATCTCTACAACCTTATACTGATAATTATCACGTATTCACTAGTGATCAGCTTCGGAAGACAATCCATGGAGTTCTAGTGGGAAGCAGTAACCAGTAAAGTTCAGCTGTATCGTAAGAATCAGTTATCCACCGAAAGCAATAGAAGATGGTTGCGCAATTTCGTGGATCGGTTAAAATTAGACATTAACACCATTAGATGTCGACTCAGTGGTCTAGAAATTAGGGGTTCGCGCCCGAGACCGGAAGTCCTGGGCCTGAGTCCTGCGTGCGGAATCGTGGATGCGCACTTACGATGAATACCATACTGGGACAAAACTGCTTTCCATCGCTTCCATGTTTTCAATGGTGGTTTAGCAGTGATCTGTTCATGATCTCAATCTAATCAAGGTAATTAATCTGTACACAAGCACATGTCTTGCTGAATATCGATCAACTTTAAGTTTAGAAGTATCGATGTAAATAGAACCAACTTCTGAATAGTTAGTACCAATTTAATAAAAAAACGTGATAAGGTTTTCTAGTGAATATGTTTCAAAATTCTACTAATTTAAATTAGCTAACCATTTGACCTGAAAGATAACAAATTCAAGTTAATGAAAATGATGTATGAAATATTTTGATCATAAATGAAAGAGTCAAGAGAAATATAAAATATTTATATTCAAGAATAAAAACGAAACTTAATTTTATGGCCACTAATCTGTTTAAGCCAAAACTCATTGTTCAACAATGTAGATATCTTCAAAATTTGCCATTGTCATCTTTAGAATAACTTCAGTTCTATAATAACATCTTTTTTAGCTATGATTATGCTAATACAGTTGACTTATATTGTATTTATATTACCTGTAAGATGTATTCTTTGAAATGCATTAACACTGAATAAGTCAGGTTCGAATCTCGAGGCTATCATTAGCTCCCTCAGAATTTTTGACAATTAACTGATAGTACGACATCGAAATACAGAGTTGCTATCTCGGCCTAAGTAGTCAACCTGACTGTATCAAATATTTCATGAACACTTCCACAATCAGTTGCAATTAATATTCGAAATACAATCTGTAGTGTCACATCTACTGATGATAATACCGCTGATAGTTAGTTTTTAATAAAGCATCTACTTCTGAAAGTTGAAATATTTCAACTCTATCTAACTATTGATACCAGATTAGAAGCACAATAGATTGTTAGTTAAGCAATATACCCTTGTGGGCCAGGGTAATTTTACATTGGTTTTCAGGAGAACCAGACACCATCCATACTTTCACATGACAACCCAAACAGCACAGTTCAATCCTGTTTGACTGGAGAGCCAGAAACCGTATAGGCTTTTACGCTACAATCTGAATAGTACAACTTAATCCTGTGACACAACCATACAGGTACCGAGCACCCTGGTGGACCAACAATAGTTTATAATTTCATAGTATTATGATGCATGAAATCTCTAATTTCAATAAAGAAGCCTAATTGCCAAAAATATCAAATTGTCTAAATTGAAATACAGTTGAAAATTCTGAATAATAATGTAAGGATGACGTTGAACCATTTCTACTAACTACAATTTAGAACTCAGTAGCTAAATATTATTTGACAACGAAATTTCTAATGAATGAGCAGCTTCTTTCATTATCAGGATTTCTTCTTTATAAGAAATCGAAATCTACACTGTAATTATTTTGTAACCACAATCCTAACGATTTTACCAGCAAAATAGATTTCGACAAAAGAATTAGTAGTCACATTAAGGAATACCTAGTTCATTATGAATGCTTAGAATAGAATAAGGGATAATCAAAAACTATTTTAAACATCGTGAATAACTTTAGTTATTACGTTCCAGTAGATTACTTAGTTAGCTTTGGCGGTTCCGAAACAGGTTACAATGTGTGTTTATTGAAAACCATCAATAACCTAGATCCCATATCTCCATATATCTCCCATATGAACATGCAAACTGGATATAAATAAATCTGTAGTTCTCTTTAAAAAAACAAGAATAATTTGTCTTTTTTGATCAGAACACTAATTGATCATTAAAATTCAAAGTTTAACTCAGTTTCAATTGACTATCAGTGATCTCAGAATGTAACAAGAGTTAATCACTACAGCATGGTTGACTCAATGGACAGATATGAGAAAGTGACACTTAAATAAAAGAAGTAACATAAATGGATAAGTATATATGAATGACTTTCTTATGTGAAAACAAGTGTATAGAAAGATTATCTCAAAGGTGATTTCTCAACATGTCTCTGATGTCTTTGCATGAATCTAACAAATATTAACTATCAAAAATAAACAGTTTAAAACCATTTAGGCGGGTGACTAGGACTCAATTATCTAAATTATATTTCGTCGGTAATAAGATCTTCAATTACATTTCTTTAAAACTAGAAAGCATCCATCAACGTTAGAAAGGTATCATTTGATTTGGTAATGATCTTCAGGTAGAAATTACATATATTAGAAAATTATAAGTAATCAACAAACTGTCGTTTAAGTAAATGCATTAATTCAAAAATGTTAGAACATAAAAGTGTACTTCATAGGTTAGATATCCAACTAAACCATTACTATTATTTCTTGTTGATACTTCTTGATAACTTTGACGGTTTGCTTGAATATCTGAGCTACTTGTTCCTGATATCAACATATCTCAATAAGTTACATGTTTTCTGTTTGTTTTTTACACAACATTATGTTTGTTAATCGTATAACCTAATTAATCGCGTTTATGAAAAGTTTGCAATATTTCACCGTACAACTTACAAAAAACTACAATCAAAGATATTGTGATGGATGTCAACATGCATTAAAACGAATGATCATTATTCAGATATCGATTCCTGAACTGCTGACATCTAACTGGCAATCACTCAATATTTATCGTCAGGTTAGATGAAGAAATAAGGAAAGAGAACTTGTTGAAATACGTTGCGCTGAGAATTCTATATTGAATAATGCTATTAGTAATAATAATAATATCATGAATGGTTGTACAGCACACTAGATGGATATACTGAACCATATAAATAATACAATATTTTCTTTAAATTTTTCCTCATTTAACTCAATAAGTAACAGTGATAATTTGTAAAGATCTACAGCATAAACCAAACATTTATGCAGAATAAAAATCTTGATGGAGTTTTGTTCTTTGAGATGGATAGTTTGGTCGTGGAGCTTTCATTGTTCTTCTGGACGACATCATCAGCACAAACGTCAGAAACTTCAGACTTCTATCTGAAGTGTGTGCTGATGATGTCGTCTAGAAGAACAATGGAAGCTCCACGACCAAACTATCCATCTCAAAGAACAAAACTCCATCAAAATCATCCACCTAAGCTACAAATCTCCATCACCTCAGAATAAGAATAAATTATTTATAAGACTTCATTCATTTTTAAAAAGAACACTTAATATCATACCAGGATTCAAGACTATCATCAGGTGACTCAAAATTAAAAGGCCGCAATCCAATCGTATATATATATGAAAATATATTTTTGTTAAAGTACTAGTTCCGTGAGGAAATATGAACAATGAATAATCAAGATGACATAATAGAAAGATTACAATACTATATTAGGTAATACGTAATGTTTAAATGGGAAATTATCTGTCTATAAGAATAATGTAGTCTAGTTTAGAAGAGCTGAAGTAAACAATTCAATACCTCATGACAAGAAAATAATAACTCTCAGATGTAAACAGTAAAATTCAAATGTCAAGAAAAATCCAATTTGAACATTTCAACAGATCTCAACAACATTGAAGTTAACAGTCGAGAAACAAAGACTCATCCGGGTGGAGATTACAGTATTCTATTCATCATTTATTTGTAGTTCATGCAAAATAATGTTCATTCAACATCATTTTTGTATTCACTAGCCCTCATTTGTGATATAAGAAAAAACGTAATATGAATCAATAAATAGGAATATGTAAATCACAGATATCCAGAACATTTTAATGAATTAAGTAGTATAATGAAAACAGTGAAAGAAAAATACAAACAAGAAACTCAAACAGTATTATTCATTACGCTTTATGTTTAATTGAATTCTATTTTCGAATGGTTTCCTTCCCTTTTTTTCTAGGATCAATTACCTAATAATATTTTGTTATTCATACTTTGTAAGCAACATGAACCAACTCAATGTTTACACATTTAGGTAATTGAATTGGTATTCTATAAAAAGAAAAATTTGCAAATAAAAATT